AGAAGAGATACTCGCGTGAAAAGGTACTTGCGTGAAAAGGTACTTGCGTGAAAAAAGTACTCGCGTGAAAAGCTAATCGCGTGAAAAAGGTACTTGCGTGAAAAGCTATTCGCGTGAAAAGGTACTCGCGTGAAAAGGTACTCGAGAGAAGAGGTACTTGCGTGAAAAGGTACACGCGTGAAAATCTATTCGCGTGAAAAGGTACTCGCGTGTAAAAAGTACTCTCGTGAAAAGCTAATCGCATGAAAAAGGTACTCGCGTGAAAAGGTACTCGCGTGAAAAGGTACTCGCGTGTAAAAAGTACTCTCGTGAAAAGCTAATCGCATGAAAAAGGTACTCGCATGAAAAAGGTACTCGCGTGAAAAGCTAATCGCGTGAAAAAGGTACTCGCGTGAAAAGGTATTCGAGAGAAGAGGTACTCGCGTGAAAAGCTATTTGCGTGAAAAAGGTACTCGCGTGAAAATGGTACTCGCGTGAAAAGGTACTCGCGAGAGAAGAGGTACTCGCGTGAAAATGGTACTCGCGTGAAAAAGGTACTCGCGTGAAAAAGGTACTCGCGTGAAAATCTATTTGCGGGAAAAAGGTACCCGCGTGAAAAGGTACTCGCGTGAAAAAGGTACTCGCGTGAAAAAGGTACTCGCGTGAAAAGGTCTGAGTCGGGTTACTGAGAGTTGTTTTTTTCTGTTTAATGGAAATTTGAGGTAATTTGCTACTGGACTAACATGAACTGCAATAAAGAATACATCAATGAGATTTTTCAGTAAATATGTGACTTACCTTTATCTTCTGCGTTGATGATCTGGTGAAGATGTGTCGAAACTAAGCGCTTGCTATAAACTAAGGTGTTTTGAAGACTGACCTAAGTGCTTGCTATATTCTAAGGGTATTTGAAGAATAACCTAAGTGCTTGCTATATTCTAAGGGGTTTTGAAGTATACCCTAAGTGCATGCCATATGCTAAGGGGTTTTGAAGAATACCGTAAGTGCATGCTATATGCTAAGGGGTTTTGAAGAATAACCTAACTGTACTGAACCTATATCACCTGTCAAGTAATTATTGGTGAATAGTTTAACAAGTCGTGAGGCATTGTACTGTGCCACATTGATATTAACGACTAGTTCAGCAAGTCGTGAGGCACTGTACTGTGCCACATTAATATTAGCGACTAGTTCAGCAAGTCGTGAGGCACTGTACTGTGCCACATTGATATTGGCGACTAGTTCAGCAAGTCGTGAGGCACTGTACTGTGCCACATTGATATTAGCGAACAGTTCAGCAAGTCGTGAGGCACTGTACTGTGCCACATTAATATTAGCAAATAGTTCAGCAAGTCGTGAGGCACTATACTGTGCCACATTGATATTAGCGACTAGTTTAACAAGTCGTGAGGCACTGTACTGTCCCACATTAATATTAGCGACTAGTTCAGCAAGTCGTGAGGAACTATACTGTGCCACATTGATATTAGCGACTAGTTTAACAAGTCGTGAGGCACTGTACTGTGCCACATTGATATTAGCGACTAGTTCAGCAAGTCGTGAGGCACTGTACTGTACCACACTGATATTAGCGAACAGTTCAGCAAGTCGTGAGGCACTGTACTGTACCACATTTATATTAGCGACTAGTTCTACAAGTCGTGAGGCACTGTACTGTGCCACATTAATATTAACGACTAGTTCAGCAAGTCGTGAGGCACTGTACTGTACCACACTGATATTAGCGAACAGTTCAGCAAGTCGTGAGGCACTGTACTGTACCACATTTATATTAGCGAATAGTTCTACAAGTCGCGAGGCACTGTACTGTGCCACATTAATATTAGCGAATAGTTCAGCAAGTCGTCAGACACTGTACTGCGTTGAAAGGTTCATACTGGCGAATAGTTTAATAAGTCATGACAGATATTGCAAAAGTCTTAGGTTTCATGGATAACATAAGTGCTTGCTATTTTCTAAGGTGTCTCTATAAATAACTAAATAAGTTCTGTTTTCAAAAGTGTTTCGAAGAATACGCTAAGTGCTTGCTATATTCTAAGAGTGAGTGAGTTAGGTTTTTCATCGCCTTTTGCTCTTTTCCAGCAAAATCAGGGCGGGGACGACAGAAATGGGCTTCATACATTGTACCCATATGGGGAATCGAACCCGGGCCTTGGCATGATAAGGCAACGCTTTAACCACTAGGCCATCCCACCATCTCCATTTTTCTGAGACAGTTGTTTCTATAACCCAGGCAGAAAAGAATGTGTGTTGGGCATGAAGGCCACAGCCAAGGTCCAGGGATGGTCCAGGGGTAGTCCAGAGATGGTCCAGGGATAGTCCAGAGATGGTCCAGGGATGACTTGCAGTAAGTTGATAAAGAAAATTGGATATATCTCAAACCATCAAAATTCGACCGACAACTGTTGGAACGAAAACAACAACCGTCAGACTGTTGCTGTTGGACAGTTGGCCAAGTTTACTGTACTAATTCGTAGTTCTAAGCCCTGAGTGCTATGTGGTTTCAAAGAACGCAAAAAGTTGGCAATACTTCCTTTAGTTCCATCCCACCTTTTTGGATGAGGAGCATCGTCGGTTGGGTGGATCCAAAGGAACTATTTATCCCAAGCTTTTATTGTTTATAGTGATGCTTTCTACGGTGCAATTTGGAAGCTAGACCGTCGTATGAAATGTCATCAAGTAATTCACTAACAACAACGTAATTTCCTACCTTTCTCCGCCGATGTCAATCGTCCAATCTTTCTTCATTGGTCACAGTCCTCAATTATGCAATCGCACAAAATGTGTCCATAAAAATTATGTCCAATCCAAATTGAAATATCTCCTGAAATTCTTCTCCAATGAAATTTACGTGGCTGTTTGGCGACGCCTCTGCAGTGACGAGTTCACTTGTATCGTCTGTCCAACAGTTTGAATGGAGAGCCAAGCAGCCACAGCACCTGAATAACATCTTCAATCCACAAGAAAACATCTCCTCCAATGAAATTTAAATGGCAGTTTGTTGACACATATGCAATTAGAAGTATGCGGTTGTTGTCTGCTTTTGACGTGGAAATATCTCCTGGTGACAGTTCAAACACCGTATCTTCAATCCACAAGAAAACATCTCCTTCAATGAAATTTAAATGGCAGTTTGTTGACACATATGCAATTAGAAGTATGCGGTTGTTGTCTGCTTTTGACGTGGAAATATCTCCTGGTGACAGTTCAAACACCGTATCTTCAATCCACAAGAAAACATCTCCTTCAATGAAATTTAAATGGCAGTTTGTTGACACATATGCAATTAGAAGTATGCGGTTGTTGTCTGCTTTTGACGTGGAAATATCTCCTGGTGACAGTTCAAACACCGTATCTTCAATCCACAAGAAAACATCTCCTTCAATGAAATTTAAACAGCAGTTTGTTGGCACATATGCAATCAAGAGTTTGCGGTTGTCGTCTGCGTTTGATTGACGTGTGAGTACAGTACGAAGCATCCGCGTGCAGCACGTGAAAACCGAGGGTCGTATTTTGGAGAGTGTTAGTCATATCGGGAACATGTTCTTGTGTAATAACGTTGCAAGTTTATTATACCACAACATGTAAATCTAACGTCCAGGGATTATTATCATTATTATTAAATTTGCCGAAAACATAAATATATCATTATAATTGTGAACTACATCGTACCGATAGTGCAAGTTTGTGCACATCATACAATGACAGGTGAATGCAAAAAAACCCGAGTGGTTCCAATGTTTACTTTGTCCAAATTATATTTACTTTGTCCAATTTTTGCATCACGTGATGTGATTTCAAACGCTTTTTGTGAACTAACAACGCTATATCATAAAAACAACCCAAAGAACTTCAGATGAGAAGATCCGGGGTAGAATAGGTCTTCAGCAACCCATGCTTGCCATAAAAGGTGACTATGCTTGTCGTAAGGGGCGACTAACGGGATCGGGTGGTCAGGCACGCTGACTTGGTTGATACATGTCATCGTATCCCAATTGCGTGGATCGATGCTCATGATATCAATCACTGCATTGTCTGGTCCAGACTCGGTAATTTAGAGACCGCCGTCATATACCTGGAGTGTGGCGTTAAACAACAAACCAACCAACCAACTCTAGATGGGAGTGGTTGCCCTTTGCATGCACCATGGTGTGTATGTAAAATTTGGGATTTTGAAAGACTGTGAGTTGCCACTGTTGCCAATCATTTGACAGAATGGAGACGTCGGGCCACTTCAATTCGGTTTTTTTGTAAGTGTAAGCCATCGACCCATAATAACATTAATTTTGTATTACAATGGACGTGATGTTCACAGCTATTATTGTATATTTCGACCCACGACCCACGTCCCCCTACCCCTTCCTTTCTGGTTCTTTGAAAGTGAATGGGTCGTTTTTATTTATTTGGGTTGACAAACGTTTTACCCCCGGAGGATCGCTTTATGATTGATATATCTCGTTCTATATGGATCTTGATAGTAAGGACCCAAAACTGTTTTGCACATGCACAATGGTACATGTCGAGGCACACCTATACACACGTACAGCGCGCAAGCAACAGAGCACAGGTTTCAGCAGTTCCCATTTAAATGTTTGACCTGGTGTTTGTAGTATTTCTTTGTTTAAGGTTTAGTTTGAAAGATGCCAGGACGTGCCTACGGATAAAACATTAAACGTCATGTTTAACCGAGCATGCTGGGAAGCGCCTTATCACCTGCTGACAAATCCTTCCGCTAACCTGTTTGAGTCGACCGCGGAGGCAGATCTAAAACGTATAACAGTTTACATCAATGAGTCCCAAACCTTGCTAATTCCTATATTTACGTTTTTAAAGACAATAAGAGGAACAGCATGCTGGGATTGGGTGCCCGTTAGAGACAATGAATGTCTTTTAAGCTAACGTTTCCACTTTTGAAAGTGACTTCCCCGCTTCAACTGTACACGGTTTGATAAACTGGTATAAATATACGGAGAGAAATACGGGCAAACCAACATTCGTGATAACGATCAATACACAGTCACTCGGTTTTAATTATCAACAAATTTGTTTGTTTTTTTATCTGTGCAACACATCATGAAGTCTGCAATGATCATATTTGTGGTGATCTGTTTCGGTAAGTAAACATTTTATTGTGTTCAAACAAAATGTGGACAATATTATTGCAATGGTTGTAATGAAATACGGCAATGGAAATATTATTTTGTATGTTACAACATTGAAGATTTGACATTATCTAATCATAAATGAATACATAACGTTGCTCTCTGAAAAGTGCTCTTTTATTGACATTGAAAACAAGAAGTTTGTATTTCTATAACTGTTCGTGCTTGATATAATGATATCCAGTAGTTCGCAGGGGGCAGGCAGATGTGCTTTAAATAGCCATGCCAAAATATGTCGTACCAGAACATTGGAACATTAGATAGGAATTCTATTCTAAATCTTTCTTTAAAGCGCTTGAAAGCCATCGTGTTATTGTGAAAAGTAACTAGAAGCTGGTTTATCATCTTATTCAAAGGCAAAAAATATTTTCTGAAATAGAAACATCTTCACATTTAAATGCCTATACGAAAAAAAGTGGAATAATTATCTAGTGTGAGGTGGTAACTAGTAACAGAAAATGCAAGCATTTTTGTATTACTTTGACCCTTTGATAAAGGTGCAAACACAAACAGGTTTTTTATTATTAAAAAAACATAGAAACTATATTTATAAAGACCTGTAAGATATATCGAACTAAGTGAAATAGTTTATTTTTAGCGAATGGAATTTACCCCCAACCCCATTAACAATGATATTACAACATCACAGGGGTTTTCTCATTCGTAGCTTTTCATGTCTGATGATTAATATATTTTTCTAGTTGCCCTAACATTTAATGCTGTTGAGAGCTGTTGTCATCACCGGCATAGTCATCACCGTCACAGCAGCAGCAGCAGTGGCAGCGGCTCAAGCAAGTTCAAGAGTTTCTTTCCTTCAAGTTTCTCCAAATCCGGACTAAGTTCCTTTGGGAGTTTCGGATCCTTCGGATCATTTGGAAAGAAATGAGTGAGTTTAAATCAGCCTTATGGGAAATATGTTTAAAGCAAAGACTTAGTGTAGTACCAAGTGTTGTTGTTGGTTTGTTGTTTAACGCCGCACTCAACAATATTGCAGCCATATGACGGCGGTCTGTAAATAATCGAGTCTGGACCAGACAATCCAGTGATTAATATCATGAGCATCGATCCACGTTATTTGGATTGATGAGATGCATCAACCAAGTCAGCGAGCCTGACCACCCGATCCCGTTAGTCGCCTTTCACGGCAAGCATGGTCACCCCGGAATCCTCACGGGTCGTAGTACCAAGTGGACACGATGTCTGAACTATTTAAACATCGATTTGTATTACTGGCTAAGCATAAGGTTACTTCTAGGTTTGTACTCAATTTAATAACCGACGATATTGAAGTGAACACTGTTTCAGGAAATACCATATTCGACGAAATAAACGACCCGCTCTAATAAGCGCCCACGGCGACATTTGCTGAGATATTGGCTAGTGAACAATCCCAATTAGCACCCCTTCCGATTGATCAATGTACACAAGACTTATTTATTCGCGTATAATACGTATTCATGTGTTATAATTATATGCACACTTAATTATTGGCATTTAATTCTGGAAACATATATATGTCGTACATAAACATTTCAGGCTGACAGCATGAACCACGAAATTTCTCTTTCAACTCTTTTTATTTCACCAAAATAATATTCAAATAAGAGCCCCCTATTTTTAATTTTGATAGCGCCCTGGGCGCTTATTACGTCGAATACGGTAATTAAATGTGATATTTAGTCAAGATGTGGTGGATAACCAATCGTTGAGGAAGTTGGTTTAAACAATATCCAATAATAGCATGGCGGGACAACAAAAGATTACTTCGTGACCAATGTGGAAAGGAGTGCTTTAACCGGGGCCTCCTTGTTTTTGTTAACTATTTTTATATTCACCTATCTGTTAAATGACATGCTCTATTTTTATACCAGTATCAGATTGCGATCTGAATATATCTATATTAAATTTGTAATTTCTGTAAACGTTTTGAATAACGTTTGAACTGGGTTTTTTTATACTTTCAGATAGTTCATCACACAAGAAGCTGTATCGTGTATGTTTCAGTGAACTCACCATCGTGTAATAAAAACTGTTAATACAATACAAAGGTGTTATTACTTCCAACATGTGACGGACGTGGCTTCACACATTGCTTCGAATGGTTTTAGCAATTTACAGTCAGCCAAAAATATTATATCACTCCGGTCTGTATATAATCGAGATTGGAAAACACAAGCAGTGGGCGATAGCATGAGCAATGGGCAATGATAGGGATTCAATAGCACATCAACCTACATGTACATTAGTTTCAATTAATATCAGACGTTAGCAGTACCTCAATTCGCCGTATACTGGGCCTCAATAACATAGGGACCTTCATTCGTCAGGTTGGATGGCAGTAGTACATGCACCTTTGTATGTAATAGTCCATGCGCCAGAAGCACGTCCATCTCCACAAATATATCAGGCATCATAATTATTGCAGCCCCGTGTGTAATATGGCAACTTCCCGAGGCAAGTGAGTTAACTGACTATAAAAGTCCAGTTTCCACCCTTGCCGAACTAGGCTGGTATTATGGAGTTACATTTTGGTTGGACTAACGAGTCTATGCATTGTCCAATCAAAATAGTACAACGAAATCGAAATCCGGTTCGTAAACTTGGCGCCACCATTTTGTTTGAAGCAAATGCAAGTGATATGAGAGGTTGAATCTGATTGGTCAATAGGAGGGGCATAGAAAGGACATAACTCGTAATAGCCACTGGTGGCGCTACGATCGAGCCCAGGAATTCCAGCCTAGTTCGGCAAGGGTGGAAACTGGACTTTTAAAGTCAGTTAACTCCCTTGCCTCGGGAAGATGGAAATGTGGAGGCATAACGCGTATTAGGAGTAAATAGTACATGCACCCACATCAGAGAATTATCAGGCGTCAAAGGTAGATGCACGTACATGTATCGATGCATATGCTCCACCTCCTGCCTAAGCCAATACCATTTGGACAACCTCGGACAAACCCCCGTGCCTTTACCACTGGGGGCAACCCGAGTTGTTCTTTATTGTGGCTTTCGCTATCAAAAGGTTATGAAAATCGCTATTCAAACATGTTCACTACGCCATAAGACATGTTCACTTAGTTTGTCATGGTGCAAATGTCCAGAATTTGTGAATTGAAGAATTGCCAAACGAAATACACCTCCCCCCACCCCCCAGCCCCCCACACACACTTAGCGCTTCTCGGAAGACTACTGAAATAAGTGCATTGCAGCTATCGTTAAACGAGTTCTATGAATTGATAATATTATACAAATAAAACTTCTATTAATTTCATCGATTAACCAAACTCTAGATCAAGCAAATATAATTTGTTCCTCCTTATTATTACGCCAATACATCATTTTACATTCACATTGAAAAAATAGGTATATCCTCGATGCCTTTGTAAAAAGATAAAACATAACGGACTAAAAGATTTACTTTTACAATCAAATTCAGTAGTTATCCGTTGGTATGGTAATATCTCAATATTAATCATTACATTGTACAATGTAAGTAAAATAAATGAATATATTCATGAAGTGGACCACAGTTGAAGAAGATTAACAGTGGTCCAGTTTATGAACAGTGATTTTGCAAGAGACAAATGGCATTAGGACACTTTAATGATCTTATCAACTATAACCGATAGAACATACTTCCATAGCATGACCACATTAGAAACACATTTGTAGGGTACGATCACAAGGGTGGCTGAAAAGGTCTAGGCTTAACTTTGTTGCTAACTATTCTTCAATATACGTAACTAACATTCAGAATTATTACCAAGTGGGATTATTTTTTTTAAAAAGGCCATACTTTTGTTTGTTTGAACAGTCGCAACTAACAATAAAAACAAGAGTTTGCCACTAACGTGGCTATATCCCCCGCCCCTGTTGCAGAATTTATGACATAATTTAATCTAAACAAACCCTAACCCTTTTAAACCGAGGTGGAACTTGTCATGGACATTTTTTTTAAAAGAAGAGTTTGGAACCTAAGTCCATCTTGTTGCCATGGAAACGTAAAAAATAAAAATTTCTAAAATTTCTAAATAGCAAAAGGCACCAGTTCAGCATGTACCTGACAAACCTGCAAAGGTTGATGAAAAAATATTGAACGGTTTATGAGTTATCCTCCGGAAACGAACCCTACCCTCACAGAACCTAAGTCCATCTTGTTGCCATGGAAACGTAAAAAATAAAAATTTCTAAAACTTCTAAATAGCAAAAGGCACCAGTTCAGCATGTACCTGACAAACCTGCAAAGGTTGATGAAAAAATATTGAACGGTTTATGAGTTATCCTCCGGAAACGAACCCTACCCTCACAGAACCTAAGTCCATCTTGTTGCCATGGAAACGTAATAAATAAAAATTTCTAAAATTTCTAAATATCAAAAGGCACCAGTTCAGCATGTTCTTGACAGACCTGCAAAGCTTCATGATAAACGGAAACGAAACGTTACGGACGGACGGAGCCCGTTTCTATATCACCCGCAAACTTTGTTGGGCGGGGGATAACAAGGAAAACATCGACCAACGTAATGCCCTGAGGTAATAAATGTAAAGGATACTTTCGTGGTGCAACAAACGTCGTGAATCGTCGATATGTAAACTTGACCGTCCAGAGACCGAACAGCTCGTATACATGTCACCACCTGCTGTCAGCCCTATCTGACCGTGCTGATTGGCCGAGGAAGTAGCATCTCGGTCATCGTCACACAAGTCATACGGAGCTGTGATTGGCTGAACCGCACATACTTCTGGGTCCGTTTTTCGTCGAGTTTTCTGCTTGAAATATATAGTCACAGTTGTTTCGAATAATCTACGGTATACAATATCATTTTTGAAGTAGCGTCAGTATTTGAAAGTCTTTCGCGGTAATGCGGTAATCAACTTTATGACTCGACCCCGCTCACTGACGAATCCGAATGCAGGGTTCTCGAATGCCATGGTAGAATTGTTCACATACCAGGCCTCAATAGTAAATGGACAATCATTAACCGAATACTTGGCTATCATTGTACATGCATTAATTTTTTTTTAATTATTAGGTAATAATTAGTCATATATAATACGTAGTATATGGGGAAAATTGTGATATAAATCATTTCGAACGCGACGTCAAAACCCAAGTTCACCCTTAAACCACCTCACAGCCACCTCCATAGTCATATGTTTAGGGCGTCAGTAGTAGACCCATCTTGATTAGGATTATACCAGACGTTAATGTCACATACTGTGATGGACTGCTAATTATTTTTCAAGTCTGCCAACGATGCTGAAGTGTCTTGATCTAACTGATGTAGACGTCCTACTCTTGGGGGTGTAAAAGGTCCTGCACAGCAGAAATGACGTTATCACCATAATGCTTGCCAGACAGTTCTTCCTTCAGGTTTGGGAAGGGGTGCTAAATCTAGTGAGGTGAGGTGAGGTGAAATTGGGTTTAACGTCGCGTCGAAGATTATTGCACTTATATAGCGACATGCATGCACGTGTGTGTGTGTGTGTGTGTGTGTGTGTGTATGTGTGTGTGTGTGTGTGACTGCTTTTTACTAGTCCGGACTGATGCCGATTTATAGTGCTAGCACACTGAGATACCATGCCGCAGTTTAACATGAATACCCCACTCAGACACAGTATACTGACTCCGAGCCGACCAGTCCTTGCTTTAGCCCCTTAATGCCGAGCGCCAGACAGGTAACAACAAGTACCATCTTTTAACGTCTTTTGGTATGACGCTCTCCGGGCGGACGCTCTACCACTAGACCGAGGAGGCGGTCGCTAAAGCTAGTGAATACGTAGGATGTTCAATGAGTTGAAAGCCACACTCATGCATTGCAGCCATGACGACAACAGACTTGTGCACAGGTAAATCTCTTCTGGTGGATGGAATAACACACCTTAAGTGAAACAAACCAAAACGTGTTTATCTGGAATGAGCACCATCGTGATGTGATCTGCAGAAATATTCATTCGACAGACTGGTCCGACAACGAGCAGGACTGGTAACATTCTACATGTGTCTGATAATTGATATATTCATATATAAGATTTGCACACCAATTCACACACAACACTGGTTTTAATGAATAGTAACCTATGATTGTGGGTTCGAATCCCGGTTCGCCCCGATTATGTTTCTAGGTTTGTCAGCACCATACCCGTGCTCGTGGGTTTCACCGAAGTGGTAAACGTCTGAGACCTGCATCACTTCGGGCTTTCCTCCCACATTAAGCTGACACGCCGTGATATAACTGGAAAAGTGACTGTTAAAAGCGGCGTTAAACCCAACTCACCCAAATTAAATGAATAGTATTCTGATTAGAGTGACAACTACTGTAAATCTTGAAATTAACCCGAGCGTGAATTCAATGCGAAAAATGCGAGTTGTCTTTGCTCGCATTAACTAAACCTCGCATTAACTAAACCTCGCATTAACTAAACCTCGCATTTATGTCTCCACAATGACTATCAATAATAATAGGCCTCACTGCACACTTTGGATAGCGGAAATACCAACATAAATATGAACACAACTAACTTTATGTTCTACGTAACGGTTTATTCAGCAGTAGTTGTAAAAGTATATAACAAACTCATTAAAAACATAGAAATTAAACAATTGGTCATCTGGTGAGTTATCACTGCTTGGGTCAAGAGTTCTACTCACTCCTGTCAAACTATACATCCAACCGAAAAAGTGTCCTTTAATATACGCTGCTTCCACATAAATATTAATGCCCACGCATTTGCTGTTGAAATACCAATGAAGTATAACCAGTTGCATTGTCAACTACGGTGGCCCATAAGGGACATGGAGTCTGTTTTTCAATATTTTGATATTTCACTTACTTTTAAGGTAACCGTTTGCAAATTAACACGATTTGTCATACAAACTTGTGATAAATCATGTATAAAAACAACCGAAAACATGTAAAATGTACTTTCAAGTAGCTATAGTCAAAAACAAAAGCGAAAATGTCAAAAACTAAAATGAAAATACAGAAAACTATTTCCACCGCGATGATAATATTATCACCGCGGTGGAAATAGTTTTCTGTATTTTCATTTTAGTTTTTGACTTTTTCGCTTTTGTTTTTGACTTTTTCATTTTAGTTTTTGACCTTTTCGTTATTGTTTTTGACATTTTCATTTTAGTTTTCGTTTCACTTTTCAGCGATTCAATATCTACTTTATACATGATTTATCACATATTTGTATGATAAATGGTGTTAATTGGTTAAATTGTTAACAGTAAGTGAAATATCAAAATATTAAAAAACAGACTCCATGTCCCTTATGGGCCACCGTAGTCAACGAAAAACCACCGTGACCGAAAAAAACCCACCTTTTTTGTTCAAGAGGGTTTAAATACGATGCTTGATTCGGAAGACGATCTCAACGTGTAAAGTAAACAAAGCGTCGTTCACGGGACACACGGATACACAGCTTCCCCGCTGTGAGATGGTCTCGCTCCCGTCTTTGATCAGTCGAAATACAAGGTGGGAGGATACACTGTGTCACCTGTTCCGATCAGCTGATCAAAGCAATAGGTCGCGGAAATAGGATTAACTGTATTCTAAGATTTTAAGTTTCAGTTTCAGACCAGGGAGATGTGGAGCTATATATAAGTGTGGTTGGTCTGAGGTATCCCATATTGCAGTGACAGCACATAGCACTCGATCTAGAACACCGTCATCCTGATTTGTTCTACTATGAGGCCCCTTGTCAAAGTCCTTGTCTCTGCCTTACTTTGTAAGTATATAGATCTTGAATGTGCTTGTCGTAGTGATCAGGGCGCACGAGTGGCCCAGTCGTCTAAGGCGCCGCGATTCGCACTGCAGAGTTGCGTCCCCTGGGCACGCCAGAAACCTATGATTGTGGGTTCGAATCCCGGTTCGCCCCGATTATGTTTCTAGGTTTGTCAGCACCATACCCGTTCTCGTGGGTTTCACCGAAGTGGTAAACGTCTCAGACCTGCATCACTTCGGGCTTTCCTCCCACATTAAGCTGACACACCGCGATATAACTGGAATACTGTTAAAAGCGGCGTTAAACCCAACCTACTCACTCACTCACTCACTCACTCACTCACTCACTCGTAATGAATAGGGAGTCAAACTATATCACGACGGCGTACAAGCAAACTTTTTGTTTCTTGCATTCCAACTTAATGTTGCTTATACACGATATTGGGCTTTTCAATTGGACAAGAGGCCGGCACATGGCCGCGAAACTAACTTCAGAAGCATAGCAACGATACATTTCGACGTTTATACGTTTTTCAACAGACCGTATTCTTAAATGGCGTAACACTGACGGCCCTCTTCAAGATGAATGTCGCAAAGCTCCGACGTTCACGCGGTTTGATCCTCAGTCTGTAGGGGGCACGGGTGGCCCAGTCGTCTAAGGCGCCGCGATTCGCACTGCAGAGTTGCGTCCCTTTGGCACGCCAGAAACCTATGATTGTGGGTTCGAATCCCGGTTTGCCCCGATTATGTTTCTAGGTTTGCTCGTGGGTTTCACCGAAGTGGTAAACGTCTGAGACCTGCATCACTTCGGGCTTTCTCCCACATTAAGCTGACACGCCGCGATATAACTGGAATACTGTTAAAAGCGGCGTTAAACCCAACTCACTCACTCACTCACTCAGTCTGTAAGGTTCAAAATCCAATGAACTCAAACAACGTGAAACTCGGTTCTTAAATAACATTGCTTAACGATTACATGGCCCTACAACGGGATTACTTTATGCTAAAAGAAGAGAGAAAAGATAATGTCATTGATTTACGTTAATATATATATTTTTTTATTAATTCAAGTTAGATGAGTCAAAGGCTATCTACGAGTACATACATCATGGCTTGTTTCCAAAATTTCTAACAGGACATAAAAACGTATTACACAGTCCAAACCTATTTTCCTACTTCAAAATATTCCGATCAATTGCTATAAACTATAGTTAGGTGGGTGAGATCTTTCTAGAAAAAAGTAAATTCCAATCTTAAGATTACAACCTTCATTTGTGAGAGAACAATCTTTTTCTTGCTATTTCTGCCACTACTGTATTGTATTTGATGTTTGTATTTCTTGATACTCCCACATCTTCATTTGCCTCACCAGTTTTGGCGTCAGCTGCATATGCCGACGGCTGTTGTCATCACCGACATCACCGACACAGTCACCACCGTCACAGCAGCAGCAGCAGCGGCAGTGGCTCAAGCAAGTTCAAGAGTTTCTTTCCCTCAAGTTTCTCCAAATCCGGACTCAGTTCCTTTGGGAGTTTCGGATCATTCGGAAAAAAGTATGTATGCCATTCAATAAATTGCCATTGTCATCTACACGTGAAATTTCCTTTGTATTATTATCTTTGTATTTTCTTCCAAACTACAAAATGCGGCACACGATTACAGTAAACAACATATAGTGTCATGCACGGTTTTATATGTAAATAAAACGTATGTAAGAGAACCGCGATACCAAATGACTCGCTCAAAAAGGTACATGTATGCGGTATACAGTAAACTACGGTTATAACGAACACGCTTATAACGAACTTACGGATATAACGAACTAACTGTTTTGGTCCCGACTATTTGTTGTAGTTATGCTGTATATATGCTTATAACGAACTACGGTTATAACGAACTAAAATTAGTAGTCCCTTTGAGTTCGTTATAACCGTACTTTACTGTATTTCAAAATGACGTTATCATTTACGGACCTTCTTCGTTCCAGGTGACAGTACAGGATCCGAATGCAAAGCCTGTGATTGCTTGTAATAAATGCGCATGGAATTGATAAAATGTATTCAGTCATGTTGAACTGTTTTAACTCATGACAAGGTAGTATGGATGATCAACTTCTGCATTACAATTTTAGCGACAATTAAGCTCTGTAGAACATCGCTGCAGTGTATTGTGTTTTGGTTTATCTAAGATCGCGGACGTTTCCGAGCAAAAAACGTATATAACAAATAACGTATATAACAAACTGATTTCTCCGGTCCCTTGTAGTTCGTTATATCCCCCATTTCTGGTGCCCCCCGCCGTGATATTGCTGGAATATTGCTAAAAGCGGCGTAAAATCAAGCTCACTCGTTATATCCATGTTTTACTGTACTGTCTCTTCAACTTCTGACATCCTCCGTGTTCGAGTGGATCGGAAGGTTGGGGATTCGATCCCTGTCCGCGTTGTACCAAAAGATGGTATTTGATGTTACCATGCCTCGTGTTGAGCATGAAGGGGATTGAACAAGTACTGGTCGGCTAGGAGTCTGTATACTGTGTCTGGGTGGGGTATCCATGTTAAACTGCGACATGATATTTCAGTTGTAGCACTATAAAACCGGCATTAGTCTGGACAAGTAAAAGCGCGCGCGCACGCTCTCTCTCTCTCTCTCTCTCTCTCTCTCTCTCTCTCTCACACACACACACAAACACACACACGGAATATATTTGCCATACTCTTTTTAGACAAAATTATGGACTGTGTTGATGTTTTAACCCCTCACCCAAAAATCAAATGGTATGGTCTGGTCCCCTCACAGTAATCGATACCAGTAATTCCACGTGTTAGTCGGCTACCCCTGACTCTACCACCCTCGAGTGCCTCCTCGTAGCACACCAAAATAAGTTTCGATCCAACAGTAAACAATACTTAAACCACTCGAACACAAATTCACAAGTAAGATATTTTAATCGGAAATGAAAACATGATTCATTAACTGCTATAAACAATGTTACAAATGTACATATAACAATATAAACAAATTGAACAATGCTTGTAACCATTCAACAAGGCAACCCTACATAAATAACATTGTGTATCAGCAACATCAGTATGATGATTGGTGTGCAATATGGCATTCAAAACATGTTCCAAACGTAAAAGTGTAAAAGATACAAGACGTAACGTTTGTAGAAACTTCTTACATAAAACACGAAGCTAACGAAACTAGTCATCATAAATGACGTAATCAGAAGAGCCGGACGATCCTGATGAGCCGGATGAACCTGATGAGCCTGAAGAGGAACCATAAGAACTTGATCCAGATTCGTAGCCACTGTCGCTGCCTTCACTGGAGTAACTGCTGCCACTGCTGCCGCTGTCGCCACTGTAGCTGCTGCCACTGCTGCCGCTGTCGCCACTGTAACTGCTGCCACTGCTGCCGCTGTCGCCGCTGTAACTGCTGCCCTCATCACTGCTGCTGCTGCCAATGCAAGGGGATTTGTTAGTTTAAGTTGTCTCATGTGTTGTCGTTGATAGTGTAGCAAAGAGACTTTTGTGTTGATAACCCCCTCCTCCCCCCCACCCCCCCTCCCGTTCCCCAAAAACACACTCACACATCCCACTCACCCCCACCCCCTAAGCTGAATGAACAAGGTAGCAGGGATGATGAATTTGTTTATTACAATTTAAAAAAATCTTTTTACTGACTTATTTGCGACTCTCAGAGGAAAACAGTCCATGACTCATTAAAGGTAAAGCCTCCAGAGAATCACGATTTTATGTACGTATGATTTACGATGTTGTGATACCTGATTTATCATGTTATAGCTATATATTTTTGTAAATTATTTAAGATGAGATCGACAAACATGTACCACTTTGGACATGGGACCTAAATATGATTCATCTTACAACTTGTACTAACCATGTGGCCTGAATTACGAAATAAACATGATTATTTGAATGAATAAATGGCAAGACAGTTCTATGTATATTACACCATAGATATACGTATATATGGAAAAATAAATAACTTTTATCAAAAATAGTTAAAAACGGTAAGGGGTCGGCGTTCTTTGAAAGAAGCCCACTGATAATCTGGGCGAATCGGGGGTCTGGCTCAAGACCAGCGGAACACGTGACATGCCTTAGACAATTGAGTGAGTGAGTGAGTATGGTTTTACGCTGCTTTTAGCAATAGTCCAGCAATATCACGGCGGGGGGCACCAGAAATGGGCTTCACACAATGTACCCATGTCGGGAATCGAACCCGGGTCTGTGTCGTGACGAGCGAACGCTTTAACCACTAGGCTACCCGAGCGCCCCTTAGACAATTGAGTCACACGTGCACACGAAATGGATAAACATTTTAAATACACAATAACATATTATTGGATGAACAAATTACCTGTAGCTGCTGCTGCTCTCGCTGTCGTCCCCGCTACTGCCGCTACTGCCGCTGCTACTACCGCTACTACCGCTGCTACCACTACTGCCGCTGCTGCTATGGTGATGGTGGTGGTGATGATGATCATGAGAGTGATGTTTATGACCGTGACCGTGTCCGTGGCCATGTCCATGGTGATGACGATGGCTGTGGCCATGGCGATGGTGGCCATGGTGACCGTGTCGGTGATGTTTATGGCCATGATGTTTGTGATGGTGTTTGTGATGATGTTTATGACCATGGCGATGTCCGTGGTGTTTGTGGTGTGCATACGAGACAGCACATATCACTGCAAGATACACAGAACTCAGATAAAGCACTCAACACTAACGATAACAAAGTCGGCTGTAACAAAGTTGGCGACAAAAAGGACATCTATCAAATAGTGACGATACCAGGTGAGGAGGATAAACGTCGTCTAAAGCAAAGTCGGCTGTAAAAGTCGGTTGGAATGATGTAGCCTGTGACAAAATGGTTAACGGGTTGCATAAATCTAAGTTGTATAAAGTCGACTGGGAAAGTCGGCTGTAACAAAGTCGGTTGAAACAAAGTCGGTTGGAATAGAGTCGTCTGTGACAAAATGGTTAATGGGTTGCATAAATCTTAGTTGTATAAAGTCGACTGGGAAAGTCGGCTGTAACAAAGTCGGTTGGAATAAAGTCGCCTGTGACAAAATGGTTAATGGGTTGCATAAATCTAAGTTGTATAAAGTCGACTGGGAAAGTCGGCTGTAACAAAGTCGGTTGGAATAAAGTCGCCTGTGACAAAATGGTTAATGGGTTGCATAAATCTAAGTTGTATAAAGTCGACTGGGAAATTCGGTTTGAATAAAGTCGCCTGTGACAAAATGGGTAATGGTTTGCATAAATCTTAGTTGTATAAAGTCGACTGGGAAATTCGGCTGTAACAAAGTTGGTTGGAATAAAGTCGCCTGTGACAAAATGGTTAATGGGTTGCATAAATCTAAGTTGTATAAAGTCGACTGGGAAAGTCGGTTTGAATAAAGTCGCCTGTGACAAAATGGTTAATGGGTTGCATAAATCTTAGTTGTATAAAGTCGACTGGGAAATTCGGCTGTAACCAAGTCGGTTGGAATAAAGTCGCCTGTGACAAAATGGTTAATGGGTTGCATAAATCTAAGTTGTATAAAGTCGACTGGGAAAGTCGGCTGTAACAAAGTCGGTTGAAACAAAGTCGGTTGGAATAAAGTCGTCTGTGACAAAATAGTTAACATAAAACCCGGTAACATAAAACTAAGTTTTTTAAAGTCGACCAGGATAAGTTGGTTGTCACAAAATCGACTGTAACAAATTCGGTTGTAACAATTAATTCAAATCAGTTACATGGGCATTGTATGATTGTCGGATAAAACAGATTTTGATCGCCCCTGTCATTTCTATGTGATATATAGAAGAATATTACTGACACGCACATCAAGATAATAGCAGCGAATAATACCATCCTTAGGATTAAAGGTTGAAACAATGTAAGACAATGTTAATCTTGAACCTTACCATTCCTCTATATCTAAAATACACCTTATTTAAACAGGCATTTAAGTTCCAGTCAGAATATAGATTATGTTCATAAATCAGTGAGCCCCTGTAAGGATCCCGTGTTAGAATTGGTCTTCCGCAACTCAAGCCTGTCTCAAGAGGCGACTAACGGGATCTGTTGGTCAGGCTCGCCTACTTGGTTGATGCTTGTCATCATATGCATATTGCGCAGATCGATGCTCATGATGTCAATCACTCGATTGTCTTGTCCAGACTCGATAATTTACAGACCGCCGTTATACAGCTGGAATCTTGCTGAGTGTGGCGTTAAACAATAAACAAACCAAAGTTATAAATCAGAGGTCAGATATATTCTCCCTTATTTCTCGAACTACTGAAGGGGGCAAGGGTGGCCCAATCGTCTAAGGCGCCGCGATTCGCTGTGCAGAGTTGCGTCCCTTGGGCACGCCAGAAACCTATGATTGTGGGTTCCAGTCCCGGTTCGCCCCGATTATGTTTCTAGGTTTGTCAGCACCATACCCGTGCTCGTGGGTTTCACCGAAGTGATAAACGTCTGAGACCTGCATCACTTCGGGCTTTCCTCCCACATTAAGCTGACACGCCGTGATATAACTGGAATACTGTTAAAAGCGGCGTAAAACCCAACTCACTCACTCACTCGAACTACTGAACCTGAGACATGGCCAAGGTGGACTTTGTCACCATGTCAAATAAAACAAGGGCACATAATTTGCAAGTAAAGAAACTCGTTATATTACCGAAATACTACTAGTAAGATGTGCATCTCACCTACAATAGCATCGCATTGGTGTATTAACTATTGCAAAAGAAAAAAACCTATATATTTTAGATCAATAAAAACGACAAAACCCTTTCTACAGCCACAAGAACCCCACCAAAAGCAAAGTCGATTGCACGATTCAGAATGTATCATGAGCATGTGTTTATGATCAATCACTAGGTAAAAGTGATGATATCAATGTTAGCAAACAATTCCTTCGTTGTTCATATACCTTTTTTGAAGCAACGTGAACTAAAGTCAAAAGATATTTCTACTCACCAACGATGATAAACGCAATCAAAATGGCCTTGTTCATTGTGTCGTGTTATCCCGAGCTCGAGTTGACTGTCGATGTGCCCTGCCTACATTATATAGACCTCGCCTGTAAGGAAGTTATTTGTAGGTGGAATTACTCGCATCCTTGTTTGCCACACACTGCTTACTTTACGACATATTTACTTCACATGCAGTGTTTTGTCGTAAATCTTTTACATTCCGCGACTAAAAAATACCTTTTGAAAGCAGAAGTATGCTCAAAGTTGAGTATCGCTTTGATATGTTTTATTTTAGGTGTCACCTTCTAACAGCCATACAAACATATTTTAGTGTAGAATATAAGGTGATTTTGGAGTACCAGGAACTACTACTACTACTACTACTACTACTACTGCTGCTGCTGCTACGACGACTACTACTACTACTTCTGCTGCTGCTGCTACTACTACTACTACTACTACTACTACTACTACTACTACTACTACTATTACTACTACTACCACTACTACTGCTACTACTACTACTACTACTACTACTACTGCTGCTGCTGCTACTACTACTACTACTATTACTACTACTACTACCACTTCTACTACTACTTCTACTGCTACTTCTACTACTACTACTACTACTACTACTACCACTACAACTCCTACTACAACTACTACTACTACTACTACTACTACCATTACTACTACTACTACTACCACTACTACTGCTGCTGCTACTACGACTACTACTACTACTACTACTTCTGCTGCTGCTACTACTACTACTACTACTATTACTACTACTACCACTACTACTACTGCTACTACTACTACTACTACTACTGCGACTGCGACTGGCGGTGGGGTAGCCTACTGGTTGAAACGTTCGCTCGTCACGCCGAAGGCCAAGGTCCCCTACATGGGTACAACGTGTGAAGCCCATTTCTGGTGTCCCCTGCCTTGATATTGCTTCACTCACTCACTCACTCATAATTTCCTTTTCAAAGCAGAAGCATACAAAAAGTTGAGTGTGGCTTTGATATAATGTTATATTTCAGGTATATACACAAAAATATATACAAATATACAAAAGTCCAAACTGTAAAACTTACTCATCCGGTGTCAAGGTTCAATATATATAGCTATCCTATATATATAACTTTCTTACATCTGACAAGCATACAAACATAATTTAGTGTAGAATATAACGTAATTTATTATATAAATACCAGGAATTACTACTACTACTTCTACTACTACTACTACTACTTCTACTACTACTACTACTACTACAACTACTACTACTACTACTACTACTACTACTACTACTACCACTACAACTACTAATACTAATACTACTACTACTACTAATACTACTTGATCCACATTTGTTCGATTAATAACTTCATGCAAATATATCAGATCAAATTAGCATTCAAATCACCAACGTTGTTTACATGCGGAGAAAAGCTCAGATAACTCATTCCTACCCGTCTCGCGTGGCTGTACAATCTACTACAAGGCATTTCAGTGCATATATTTAGTATTCCCTTATACATGTGAAGACTTTAGAGTAACTGCCGCAGCCACAGTGTGTTTGTCTCGATATAACGATCGTGTACATAAAAACAGGGATGAAGAGAGGGTTGGCTAACTGAATCAGGAAGGGATGTGAGTGAGAAGAAACGGTGGAAGAGAACTGTGGCGCCCTTGACGACGGGCACCCTGACCCAACATCCCGAGATGAATGACAATGTGCTCTTCTCTACAAGTAAAATATAATTTTTTTGGCGTTATTTTGGCTTCCATATTTGATTTTTGGACAAAAATAACCTTTGTGCTATGTTCCAGGCTGGTGCCATATTTAGTTTAACTTGCTTGAAACAAATTCTTTGAGAATCTATACTTTGCCTTACCTTTCACTCCTCGTTTGCCCCTATTTAGATAGTGTATGTAGAACACATTGTTCTGGATATACCCATGACAGGACTACTCGTTTGCCCCTATTTAGATAGTGTATATAGAACACATTGTTCTGGATATACCCATGACAGAACTACTCGTTTGCCCCTATTTAGATAGTGTATATAGAACACATTGTTCTGGATATACCCATGACTGAACTACTCGTTTGCTCCTATTTAGATAGTGTATGTAGAACAGAGCGTTCTGGATGTACCAAGGACTGAACTACTCATTTGCCCCTATTTTGATAGTGTATGTAGAACATATTTGTTCTGGATGTACCAAGGACTGAACTACTCATTTGCCCCTATTTAGATAGTGTATGTAGAACACATTGTTCTGGATATACCCATGACTGAACTACTCGTCTGCTCCTATTTAAATAGTGTATGTAGAACACATTGTTCTGGATGTACCAAGGACTGAACTACTCGTTTGTCCCTATTTAGATAGTGTATATAGAACATAGTGTTCTGGATATACCAATGGCTGAACTACTCGTTTGCCCCTATTTAGATAGTGTATGTAGAACACAGTGTTCTGGATGTACCAAGGACTGAACTACTCGTTTGCCCCTATTCAGATAGTGTATATAGAACACAGTGTTCTGGATATACCAAGTACTGAACTACTCGTTTGCCCCTATTTAGATAGTGTATATAGAACATAGTGTTCTGGATATACCAATGGCTGAACTACTCGTTTGCCCCTATTTAGATAGTGTATGTAGAACACAGTGTTCTGGATGTACCAAGGACTGAACTACTCGTTTGCCCCGAATCAGATAGTGTATGTGGAACACATTGTTCTGGATATACCAATGACTGAACTACTCGTTTGCCTCTATTTAGATAGTGTATATCTAACACATTGTTCTGGATGTACCAAGGACTGAACTACTCGTTTGCCCCTATTTAGATAGTGAAAAAAGAACACATTGTTCTGGATATACAAATGACTGAACTACTCGTTTGTCCCTATTTAGATAGTGTATGTAGAACAGAGTGTTCTAGATATACCAATGACTGAACTACTCGTTTGCTCCTATTTAGATAGTGTATGTAGAACACATTGTACTGGATATACAAATGACTGAACTACTCGTTTGTCCCTATTTAGATAGTGTATATAGAACACATTGTTCTGGATATACCAATGACTGAACTACTCGTTTTACTGACCCCTACTCTTAACCTTACCCTTTTCGCGAAGGCCTGTTATCATCACTGATGTTCAGTGGTCAAATCATGACACGTTCACCTCTGCCGCGTCATACCAAAAGACGTTAAAAGATGGTACTTGTTGTTACCCTGTCTGGCGCTCGGCATTAAGGGGCTAAACAAGGACTGGTCGGCTCGGAGTCAGTATACTGTGTCTGAGTGGGGTATTCATGTTAAACTGCGGCATGTCAGTGAGCTAGTACTATAAATCGGCATCAGTCCGGACTAGTACAAGCAGCCACACAAACACATGTACATGCACGTCGCTATATAAGTGCAATAATCTTGGACGCGACGTTAAACCCCATTTCACCTCACCTCACCTCTTCCCAATGAGCTATTAGACTAAGTTTGAAGACATACAAGGACTACGGTCCAGCCAGTAAGGCACACTGAACAACATGCGGAAGCAGCTGTAGCAGATATGCCAGTGAGGTAGACCAAGTCATAGTATTTTCATCATGACTCCGTAAAACTCCGTATTAGGGCAACAAACACAAACACATGACGTATTGTCCAAATAAGCGCACGCTTCACACAAGTAAAAGGTAAAAATATGATATGATTGGTGTTATAATTCAACCAAGTTGAGGCTCTGGCTGTGTAATCCTCAATGCCTGCTGTGATGGTGGTGTGACGGTGGTGTGATGGCGGTGTGGTGGTGGTTGTTGCAGTTTCGCATCATTTCATCACTGTTAAAGCAATAATAAAGCGTTATAAAAAATGCTGCATAATGCTTAACTTAAAAAATAAACACGACTATATAAGAACGACCATAATTTACTGAAGCAACATTCGCTCCTCAGCTTAGTTCTTTCAAGCATGAAGAATCTGACCCTGATCCTGATTATATTAGTGGGTGAGTATAAACGACATACCTGGAATTTTCGCGGTTGTTTGTTCATGATACTTTATGGCGGTCGGGTAGCCTAGTGTTAAATTGTTTGCTGGTCATGCTGAAGACCCGGGTTCGATTCTCCACACAGGTACAATGTGTGAAGCCAATTTCTTGTATCCCCGTCGTGATATTGCTGGAATATTGCTAAAAGCAGCGTAATCCCATACTCACTCACTCACTCACTCACTCATGATAATTTATTGGCATTGTCAACTAAGCATTTATAAGATCATACACTGGAGTGAATGAGTGAGTATGGTTTTACGCCGCTTTTAGCAATATTCCAGCAATATCACGCCGGGGTACACCAGAAATGGGCTTCACACATTGTACCGTTGTCGGGAATCGAACCCGGGTCTTCGGCGTGACGAGCCAACGCTTTAACCACTAGGCTATTATACACCTATTATACACTGGAAGTCTGTGATGCACGGATTCTTATTTTACACTTGGCTACAATATATACAACCGGTTCCCTTTGACTTAAATATGCGATTAAGTAAAAGCATAAGTACATTTATGTGTGTAAATTTAATTTATTCATTATTATTGTTAATTAAATGGATTCCTTTGTTTATATTGAACTACATGGGAAACCTATACTATACTATTGTACACTTGTTTATTTATAATAGGGGTTGAGAATAAATGAATAATTTACCATTTGTGGTCTCAACTGGCAACTAAACGCCACGTCTGTTTCCCTTTGTTGTCCAGTGGTAGCCGCTCTGGCTTACGCCCATCATCATCACCGTCGTCATCGTCACCGCCGTCATCATCACCATCATCATCACCACCACCATCATCGGCACCACAGACACCACCGTCATCATCACCACCACCATCATCATAGACATCACCGTCACCGTCACCACAGCCACAGTCACAGCAGCAGCAGCAGCTCCAGCAGTCACGAGACCATCGTCGTCCACCATCACCACTCCTCTCCGTCGTCCTCCTCTGGCTCATCCGGCGGGTCCTCCGGCTGCTCCAGCTGTGGAGGCAGCTCCCAGTCCTCGTCCTCGTCCTCCGAGGACTACCCCATCCCAATCCCCGTCCCCTACAGTCACGGAGGCAGCAGTGGTAGCAGCAGTGGAGGATCTTCTGATGCTGCTCTCCTGCAGGCTCTCATCAATGCTGGAAAGAAATAAAACTTTCTCAGTAAGTAGTTTTAGTACTCTTATAAGGATAGCAATATAACGTCAAGTGGACAATTTTGAACTGACCAAGCTTGGTTTCCCGTTTACTCGATAACCGACATATGGTTTATCGAATGTTTAGTGGCCCTTCTTGTGACAACAGTTTAACGTTTATAATATGGAATTACAAACGATCTCTCATATGGATAGAGTAAAGTTTGACTGGACATGGCCTGATTGCTATAAAAGAATCCACATGAAAGACCATCTTGAAGACAGTTGTTGATTTGCTGAACGTGTATTGTCATACTCCGGACTTCACCACAACCGTTGACAAATAATGGCCAGGTCTTGATGCGGTTGACTGACATATATAAATATTGTTTTCTTTGTTGTCAAGGGATTGATTCAGATGCATGACATGTGTGCTTAACTATAAATGACCAACTCTAAAAGTCTTTTTTCTTTTTTTCCAGATCAATTCTTTTTCGGTTTAGGGTTTGTTTGTCTGGGTGGAGCTGGTCTCATTGGTTTTGTTGGATTTATTACCATAAATATTTTCTTTATAAAATACAGATTGGTGATGTGTAAAACGATGACTGATAAAATTGTAATAAAAGTAACAAAAATCTATTTCTGTGTTTTCTTAATTATCCATTTATAGTTTTTGCATTTTATACGACGGATTGTAAACATTTGATCGGCAGTGAGTGAATGGGTGAGTGAGTGACTGAGTGATTAGGGATTTACGTCGCTTTGAACAATATCCCAGTTATACACACCGGGCGTCACACATTTAGTGCATTTGGGAAATGACCCGTGACGATTCCGGGGTAGAATAGGTCTTCAGCAACCCATGCTTACCGTAAAAGACGACTATGCTTGTCGTAAAAAGGCGACTAACGGGATCGGGTGGTCAGGCTCGCTGACTTGGTTGATACATGTCATCGATCCCAATTGCGTGGATCGATGCTCATGATATTAATCACTGGATTGTCTGGTCCAGACTCGATTATTTACAGACCGCCGTCATATAGCTGGAATATTGCTGAGTGCGGCGTTAAACAACAAACCAACCAACCAACATTTGGGAAATCGAACAACGTTTAACCACTTCCATAGCAAACGCGCAGCCTCACGCACATCATTGCGTGGTGTTGGACTGTGTTGTGAAAACAACTTGATGTGGTATTAATAGAGGCCATAAACATATACACCCGGTATCTCATACATACCCTGAAACATAAATATTCTGAAGCTCCAAAGTAGTTCGGGGATATTTTGGCAAGAGTAGATTTCTTCAGTTTCAGGAATGAAGCTTAACAAGAATTTTCTCAACATGCTTTCATTCCAAAGAATGGAAATCTAATACACAGGGGATCATGGTCATATTTAAGATTCCAGTAACAACCTATAACATGAACAATGCTAGCGACAATGAACACAGTGATAATGATGACTATGGACATACACGTTATCCCCAACGGATACTCTCGTCGGTTGCACACTAGGTGAACATCGTAGGTTGCACTCTAGGTGCATATCGTAGGTTGCACTCTAGGTGCATATCGTAGGTTGCACTCTCGGTGAACATCGTAGGTTGCACTCTAGGTGAACATCGTAGGTTGCACTCTAGGTGGACATGGTAGGTTGCACTCTAGGTGCACATGGTAGGTTGTACTCTAAGTGAACATGGTAGGTTGCATTCTAGGTGCACAGTGTAGGTTGACCTCTAGGTGCACATTGTAGGTTGCACTCTAGGTGCATATCGTCGGTTGCACTCTAGGTGAACATCGTAGGTTGCACTCTAGGTGCATATCGTAGGTTGCACTCTAGGTGCATATCGTAGGTTGCACTCTAGGTGAACATCGTAGGTTGCACTCTAGGTGAACATCGTAGGTTGCACTCTAGGTGCACATGGTAGGTTGCACTCTAGGTGAACATCGTAGGTTGCACTCTAGGTGAACATTGTAGGTTGCACTCTAGGTGCACATGGTAGGTTGCACTCTAGGTGAACATCGTAGGTTGCACTCTAGGTGAACATCGTAGGTTGCACTCTAGGTGAACATCGTAGGTTGCACTCTAGGTGCACATGGTAGGTTGCACTCTAGGTGCACATCGTAGGTTGCACTCTAGGTGAACATTGTAGGTTGCACTCTGGGTGCACATCGTAGGTTGCACTCTAGGTGCACATCGTAGGTTTCACTCTAGGTGCATATCGCTGGGTGCACTCTAGGTGCACATCGTAGGTTTCACTCTAGGTGCACATCGTAGGTTGCACTCTAGGTGAACATCGTAGGTTGCACTCTGGGTGCACATCGTAGGTTGCACTCTAGGTGCACATCGTAGGTTGCACCCTAGGTGCATATCGTAGGTTGAACTCAGGTGCACATCGTAGATTGCACATCGTTAATCTTGCATTTTCAACCAACGGACCATTAAATAATGACGATGGCGGCGCCCGACGTAGGAAACATATGGGTGAAATCCCTGCTGTTTTTGTCGCACTCGTTAAGGTAGAATATCATTGTAAAAATGCTGTAACTTGCCAGAACCTAGAGTGAGTGAGTATGGGTTTACGCCGCTTGTAGCAATATTCCAGCAATATCACGGTGGGGGACACTAGAAATGGGCTTCACACAATGTACCCATGTCGGGAATCGAACCCGGGTCTTCGGCGTGACGAGCGAACGCTTTAACCACGAGGCTACCCGACCGCCCCGCCAGAACCTAGAAGAGAACATAGGGATAAAATTCAAAGCCACTACCGGTACAAAATCTTGACTCGCATAACCTTGAAATAGTTTTTACATGAGGTTAAACCCATACAAACGGCTTACAAACGACGAGAATTTCACATCCATGATGACTATCCGTCAGCGCAGAAACTATCAGCTCCATCTCTTTAATTTAAGAAGATCTTATTCTAAAAATACATCCAATGAAATCATCCATGATATTTTAATACAAATATATTAATATCCACTACGAGCATGAAAAGACATGTTGTCGTCAATTACATATTCTCCCATTTCTGTGTTACGAATTGCTTGATTTAAACCTATTTTACAATCATATTGTGCACAGTCGAAGGCCCGACAGAGTGATGTAATACATTATATACTGAAAAACAAGACTTTAGTACTGATATGTACTAAATAAAAGCAAAACAAACCCTTTCCATATTCATAAAAATCGCTGCTGAAAGCATAGTCGATTGACAAATTGACCCGAATCTCTGATAATTATGTACATGTAACTATATCTATATGGTCAAGTCATTGAAAGGCATTTAGAAGTGATACACATAAGGAAGATAATTTATGAATGCTAGCTTCTTTATTATGATGAGCACAACGTTTCGGAGTATATACTTACTCCTTCATCAGGTGAATAAATGCTATGAGTGAGTGAGTGAGTATGGTTTTACGCCGCTTTTAGCAATATTCCAGCAATATCACTGCGGGGGACACCAGAAATGGGCTTCACACATTGTACCCATGTCGGGAATCGAACCCGGATCTTCGGCGTGACGAGCCAACGCTTTAACCACTAGGCTACCCGACCGCCCCGAATAAATGCTATGAGGCAGAGAGCATATATATGAACCTCCAAGTACAACAAAAGTAATAATATAACAAAGGCGGAACTAACACGGGAATCCAGCAGCTAATTGGCGATGATAGGAGATTAGCAACAGACAAATGTTATCGTATTACTTTTGTTGTTCTTAGAGGTACATATATATCGTAATTCCTGATCCAAATACAGAAAAGACCTCCTCCGTGGTCAAATGGATGAAACGTCTTCCCGGAGGGCGGAAGGTCAGTTGTTTGATCCCGGGCCGCGCCATACCCCCCAAAAAGTTAAAATGTGGTAGTTGTTATTTGGCTGCCTGGCGTTTGGCATTTAGGTGATACAACAAGGACTGGTCGGTGACTGAGTGGGTATCAATGTTAAGCTGCCTATAACAAATATACTCACAGACAACAGTTGTTGCGACCAATACAAAATAACTGTGAAATATTTTTAAATTAATTAATATTGATTGAGAAAATTACATGATCTTTTAGTTCGACAATGCTTACTTGTATTGTTATGTACCAAAGCAAAACATGTACAACAAAGTGAGACAGTGCTCATTTCCATAAGTCCAAATACATAACAGATCGCCTGCGAGGTCTAATGACTAGCGACAGCCTCCGTGGTCTAGTGGTAGAGCGTTCATTCATCTGAATCGGAGAGAGCGGAAGGTCCGGGGTTCGATCGCCGGCCGCGTCATACCAAAAGACGTTTAAAGATAGTACTTGTTGTAACCCTGTCTGGCGCTCGGCATTAAGAGGCTAAAACAAGGACTGGTCGGCTCGGAGTCAGTATACTGTGTCTGGGTGGGATATTCATGTAAAACTGCGGCATGGTATCTCAGTGAGCTGGCACTATAAATCGGCATCAGTCCGGCCTAGTACAAGCAGCCACACACACACACACACACACGTGCATGCACGTCTCTATAAATGTGCAATAATCTTGGACGCGACGTTAAACCCCATTTCACCTCACCTCTTTTAACGTCTTTTGGTATGACGCGGCCGGGGATCGAACCCCGGACCTTCCGCTTTCCGGGCGGACGCTCTACCACTAGACCACAGGCGGCCCTGATACAAAACAACCCAGATTGCTGGAAATACTAGAATTGGCGCCTACGTGTAGAGTCCTGTATCGTTGGGGTAGATATTTAGATGGATTCTCCATCAATGTTTGAAAATATATACAGGACGTTGTAGCTGACTGTAGCTGACTTTCAAGGGAATTTCAAGAGCACGCATTTGTGTGGTAGTGTTGATTCAGTCGGATAGCTAACCCAAGCGCTGAGAAATGCAAGGTCTCTATTGGTCAGATTTCATCGGGCGTAAAAGGCAAAATAACGGTTAAATGATATGAATGGATCACTGCATGGGGACACGTAATGTGATTGACGAAGTATTTTCATCATGAATGTGATAGACCGAGTACATGTATTTTCATCATGAATGTGATAGAGCGAGTATTTTCATCATGAATGTGATAGACCGAGTTTTCATCATGAATGTGATAGACCGAGTATTTTCATCATGAATGTGATAGACCGAGTTTTCATCATGAATGTGATAGACCGAGTATTTTCATCATGAATGTGATAGACCGAGTTTTCATCATGAATGTGACAGACCGAGTACATGTATTTTCATCATGAATGTGATAGACCGAGTACATGTATTTTCATCATGAATGTGATAGAGCGAGTTTTCATCGTGAATGTGATAGACCGAGTTTTCATCATGAATGTGACAGACCGAGTACATGTATTTTCATCATGAATGTGATAGACCGAGTTTTCATCATGAATGTGATAGACCGAGTATTTTCATCATGAATGTGATAGACGAGGTATTTTCATCATGAATGTGATAGACGAGGTATTTTCATCATGAATGTGATAGACCGAGTTTTCATCGTGAATGTGATAGACCGAGTTTTCATCATGAATGTGATAGAGCGAGTATTTTCAACGTGAATGTGATAGACCAAGTTTTCATCATGAATGTGATAGAGCGAGTATTTTCAACGTGAATGTGATAGACCGAGTTTTCATCATGAATGTGACAGGCCGAGTTTTCATCATGAGTGTGATAGACGAGATATTTTCATAATGTAAACTTATTGACCAAGTATTTTCATTATGAATGTGATAGACCGAGTATTTTCATCATGAATGTGATAGACCGAGTATTTTCATCATGAATGTGATAGGACGAGTTTTCATCATGAATGTGATAGACGAGGTATTTTCATCATGAATGTGATAGACGAGGTATTTTCATCATGAATGTGATAGACCGAGTTTTCATCGTGAATGTGATAGACCGAGTTTTCATCATGAATGTGATAGAGCGAGTATTTTCAACGTGAATGTGATAGACCAAGTTTTCATCATGAATGTGATAGAGCGAGTATTTTCAACGTGAATGTGATAGACCGAGTTTTCATCATGAATGTGACAGGCCGAGTTTTCATCATGAGTGTGATAGACGAGATATTTTCATAATGTAAACTTATTGACCAAGTATTTTCATTATGAATGTGATAGACCGAGTATTTTCATCATGAATGTGATAGACCGAGTACTTTCATCATGAATGTGACAGACCGAGTATTTTCTTCATGACTCACTTAAATCTCCAGATTATACATATTCCTTCATCGTCAACAGATAAGATTATGTGTTCCTCTGATACTAATATTAACCGAACCATGCAAGGAAATAATAGACTGACACAACTGGCGCAATAAAACCCACGCTGGGATCTGGCTGCGTAAGTCTCCACGCATGCAGTGACGGTGGTGTGCTGTTGATAATTGCCGTTTCATAAGTTCGTCACTTAGTGCTATTGCTACGAAATGATACTTTTAAAAAATGCAACATAATGCTTCACCTTACAAAAAAAAATAGATATAAAAATACGACAGTGCCACACTGAAGCATCATTCACACAACCTTCTCTGTGCTTGAACATCGGACAGCTAACATGAAGAATCTGACATTGATCTTGATTATTCTAGTGGGTGAGTATTCAGTTCGGAAACTATCTTTATATAATGTGTTATCATGTAAGAGAATATACTAGTTTCTTACCAGAACAGGTTATCCACTGGGTGATTATGAATACGATATGTAAGGGGATATAGTTGATTTGGCTGTAATACGCATGGTGTTATTTGTACCTATAAGTTATATATCATCCTTTAATAAGCTGTCGAAGTATGCCCATGCTATATAAAGTGTTTCACGAATTGATTCCATTCTAACACGGAACCAGCATGGTAATTACGTTTACCTTAAGCGAGGGACGTGCTGAATATAACATGTAAAACTATACAGTTATTCCCCCTTGACCAGACATATATGATTACAAGATCGTCGAATTATTTCCATGCCGTACAAACATTTTCAAAAATAGATTCCTTTCTGACACGGGATCAGATTTGAAAAAATGTTTGATTGAATTAAGGAGATACAGCATAAACCTTGTATTCACATCAACAAAGTGTAATTGTCTTTTCTGTCCTTACTGGTCACTAAATGTTTTTCCTTATCCAGTGATAGCCGCTCTGGCCTACGCCCATCACCACCACCGTCGTCATCGTCATCACCGTCATCATCACCACCATCACCGTCATCACAGACATCACCGTCACCATCGCCACCACCATCATCATCATCACCACCACCATCATCATCGACATCACCGTCACCGTCACCACAGCCACAGTCACAGCAGCAGCAGCAGCTCCAGCAGTCACGAGACCGTCATCGTCCACCACCACCACTCCTCTCCGTCGTCCTCCTCTGGTTCATCCGGCGGGTCCTCCGGCTGCTCCAGCTGTGGAGGCAGCTCCAAATCCTCGTCCTCGTCCTCCGAGGACTACCCCATCCCAATCCCCGTCCCCTACAGTCACGGAGGCAGCAGTGGTAGCAGCAGTGGAGGATCTTCTGATGCTGCTCTCCTGCAGGCTCTCATCAACGCTGGAAAGAAATAAACTCTCTCAGTGAGTAGTTTTAGTACTCTTATAAGGCTACGCTTTCAATTATTTATGACATTGTGTAAGGATACGAGATGTACAAACAGATTACAATATAAAAAAAATAATATAATTACGTGTGACCCTATTGGGTGACCCAACTCTCAGTTGCCATCTGACCACAAGTAAAATAATCATCACCACAACCCGTTGGTTCGTTCGTCCAAGGGCAACTTAAAATCTATTGGAGCAAGTGTAATCTGCTTGATTAAAGCATCAGTGTTGTTAGGTTAGATATTAAGATCCATTTGTAGGTCGCATGCTAGAATCCTATGATCGTCGGTTCGAATCCCATATCCACCCTGATAACGATTATTTGTTTGTCTGCGCCATTACTTATTTGTTGGTTTACCAAAGTGGACATGTATCAATTCGGGTTTTCCTCCAACATTAAGTTGACACAGTGATGTAACTTCAATACTGTTCAGAAAGCACTCACTGAATGTTGAGCCTATATTCAATATGTGTTTAGCCATAAATTATTTGATCATGTGCGGATCTTGTTATCTTATTTCAGATTCTTTTCACCTTTCGGTTGAGGGTTCGCTGTTAATCGGGTGGAGCTGGTCTCACTGGATCTGTTAGATTCATCGCTGCAAACCACAGATAATCAGATTTTCTATAAAATACAGACTGCTCATGTATAAAATGATAAATTATGAATTGTAATAAAAATCACTAAGATCTACCTCCGGATATTTTAGTTCTTTTAACCATGGATTTCTCTCTATCGAGTCCGTGTTCGTATTATTTTGTCCAACCATTTTCCAACATGTATCCCCCATTGAAAACGTCTGGGGCGTCATTGGCAGACGTAAACGTCAACGTCAACGTCAAAATCCACCCACTACTCTCAATGAATTAGCTGTTTCTCTCATTGATGAGTGGAACAACATGCGTCAAGCTGACAGTGGTCGACTCATCAGAGGCATGCCTCGAAGAATTCGTGCATGTCTGGCCACCTGAGGTGATTTTACCCGATTCAGTGACGTTGGCTGCAAACACAGGAACTCGATGATAGCGTGTATAGCATAATATATTCGTATATGGAGGGGTGTGATTTTTTTCAATACGAATATATTATGCTATACACGCTATCATCGAGTTCCTGTGGCTACAAAATGCAAATTTCGGATTTGACCCCGACCTCTTTTACGACCTAGTGCACCACCATCTCATCACACAGACCGCCTCCGTGGTCTAATGGAAGAGCCTCCGCCGGGAGAGCGGAAGGTCCGGGGTTCGATCCCCAGCCGCGTCATACCAAAAGACGTTAAAAGATGGTACTTTTTGTTACCCTGTCTGGCGTTCGGCATTAAGGGGTTAAAACAAGGACTGGTCGGCACGGAGTCGGATACTGTGTCTGAGTAGGGTATTCATGTTAAACTGCGGCATGGTATCTCTGTGTGCTAGCACTATAAATCGGCATCAGTCCGGTTTAGTACAAGCAGCCACACACACACGTGCATGCACGTCGCTATATAAGTGCAATAATCTTGGACGCGACGTTAAACCCAATTTCACCTCACCTCACCATTGGAACAAATTAGATCTAATCGCCTCCTCCCAAGCAGATACGATCATAGCATTTACATTTGCCAATACCATATTGATCAGAAGATACGTCTGATGATTCCCAATATTCCCAACTGTTTTGTTTTCAAATACTGTTAAAAGCGGTGTAAACCAAAATTACTCATTCACTCACATGCTCAAGGCGATGCACATCAGCCGATTGGGATGCGGAATATTATGGCCTTCGAAAAACATTAAAAAAAAAATCAATTATTTGAGAATAATCAGTCTCGATAATCTGCCGAAAGAGATTCCATTGGGTGTAAAGGCAAAGGCAAAATACTGGTGAAAATTTTATGAATCGCGAAAAGGAAAAACATTGTCCTGTCCTTCCGGCGACGTGTCCATACAACAGTATATTGTGACCCTTGACCGAACACCACGCAGCTGACGTCAGCGTGTGTGTAATTTTGGATAGAAGGAAGTGACCGTAAAATATTCATGCTTTATTTGTGCATGGTTCCGTCAAGGGCAGCTGTGTGTCCATAAACATTTTATTGTACAGTGAACGTATTTGCCACTTTGGGGGTATTTGGATGCATTTATGTCAATTTGTTGTTAGACTTACAGACATGCTCTGGTTGTAAACACATATTATATGCCTATATTTTGTCATCTTCCTGAGGCAAGTGAGTTAACTGACTATAAAAGTCCAGTTTCCACCCTTGCCGTACTCGGATGGTATTATGGAGTTACATTTTGGCTGGAAGTCTATGCATAGTCCAATCAAAATCGCGCGCCGAAATCGAAATCCGGTTCGGAAAGTGTCATGCAGATTTCGGTCGACTGCAGGATTTGCAAAGCATGTGCACCGCTAACTCGTTGGCAACAGATATTTTCCAAATCTTTTCATGTTTTTAATCAAGGTGCTCACGTGATTTGATGCACTTCGCGATGTAAGACCCGTTTTATCACGATATAGAACTGGATTATCGATCAGATCGTCCTGAGTGGCGCCACCGTTTTGTTTGAAGCAAATGCAAGTGATATGAGAGGTTGAATCTGATTGGTCAATAGGAGAGGCATAGAAAGGACATAACTCGTAATAGCCACTGGTGGCGCTACGATCGAACCCAGGATTTCCAACCTAGTTCGGCAAGGGTGGAAACTGGACTTTTAAAGTCAGTTAACTCTCTTACCTCGGGAAGATGATATTTTGTGGGAAGTATATATCAAGCATATACTTAAGGTATCTTGTTATTCAGTGACCCATTCATATATTTTTCACTGGTATTTGAGTTTTACGCCCAATAGAATCTGTTTTGTTGGATAATCGAGAATAGTTCTTCTCTGGCGTTGATGTTTTATTTTAACATGTACTTCCGCGTATGATACATATGTTGCTCGCTCTCGGGGAAAACATCGCTGTTTGGTTAGTATGGTCGTTTCCATGGGCCTGACGTCCATTGTTGTTAATATCCGCGCCAAAATGACACAATGGCATATGGGTCAGGATACACTCATTGACCTTATGTCATATAAAGATTAGATTAATCTTTTCAACTTTCTTTTTCTTCTTTTATTGATACAATAATATGTACTTCTTGACGTCGTAAGTGAAGAGCAGCTTGCCGAAAGAGGCGACTAACAGGATCGGATGGTCAGGCTCGCTGACTTGGTTGATGCATGCCATTGTATCCAAATTGGGTAGATCGGTGCTCATGATGCCGCCGTCATATAGCTGGAATATTGCTGAGTGCAGCGTTAATCAACAAACAAACAAACGACAGAAACATGTTTTTTTTGTGTAAAGGTTATGATGCACGTACAGTTTGCTGGCATGTTGGTCGTGAATTGCACATTGGGTTCTCTTGTTTTGGTTGACATGTTTGTTTGTTCATTAACGCCACACTCAGGAATGTTCCACCCAGATGACGACGTTCTGCACCAAAAACACGGGTGATTGATATTATGAGCGACGATCCACGACGTTGGGGTCAATGACACCGGCTCAAACCAAATCACCGAGCGTGTCCATCGATACATTTTTTGTTACGACTAGCACAGGTTGATGGGTACCCATTCTGACCACATTCATGTTCCCCTTCATATCTATCAATGTCCCGTTAGCGATATATCGATATTTAAACTATAAATAGTTAACATGTTCTATGCGCTATACTGATGACAGTTTCGATGTATGTTATGAAACTTGAACACATTGAGAACCATTCCCAGAATATTGTACAGAATGCATCATATTTGAGTGAGTGAGTGAGTGAGTGAGTGAGTGAGTTTGGTTTAACGCCGCTCGTAACAGTATTCCAGTTATATCGCGGCGCGTCAGCTAAATGTGAGAGGAAAGCCCGAAGTAATGCAGGTCTCAGACGGTTACCACTTCAGTGAAACCCACGAGCACGGGTATGGTGCTGACAAACCTAGAAACATAATCGGGGCGAACCGGGATTCGAACCCACAATCACGGGGAAGCAACTCTGCACAGCGAATCGCGGCGCCTTAGACGACTGGGCAACCCGTGCCCTCGCATCAATTTTGAAGAGATATAACTGTGTATCGTCTGAGAATGCTTTTGTTATTTAATTTCATATCACCATCGGGCATCTTCCCGAGGCAAGAGAGTAAACTGACTTTTAAAGTCCATGTTTCCACCCTTGCCGAACTAGGCTGGTATTATAGAGTTACATTTTGGCTGGACTAACGAGTCTATGCATAGTCCAATCAAAATCTGGCACCGAAATCGAAATCCGGTTCGTAAACTGTCTGCAGATTTCGGTCGATTGCACAATTTGCAAAGCATGTGCACCGCCAACTCGTTGTCAGCAGATATTTTCCAAATCTTTTCATGTTTTTAATCAAGATGCTCCCTTGATTTGATGCATTTCGCGATGTAAGACCCGTTTTATCACGATATAGAACTCGATTATCGATCAGATCGTCCTAACTGGGCGCCACCATTTTGTGTGGAGCAAATGCAAGTGATACGAGGGGTGGAATCAGATTGGTCCACAGGATAGGTTTAGAAGGGACATAACTGGTAGTAGCCACTGGTCGAGCCCAGGATTTCCAGCCTAGTTCGGCAAGGGTGGAAACTGGACTTTTAAAGTCAGTTAACTCTCTTGCCTCGGGAAGATGCCACCGGGGGATTCCGGGTTAGACCTGGTCCCTAGCAACCTACATGCTTTTCGTAAGGGCGATTAAATGTATCGGCTCGGTGGCTCGGTGGCTCGGTGACTTTTATCGTATGTCATCTTGACCGACGTCGTGTGATGTTGATTATAATTATATCAGTGAATTATTTGTCTGGTCCAAACTCCATCATTTAATCATAAAAAATGGTACTTGTTGTTACCCTGTCTGGCGCTCGGCATTAAGGGGCTAAAACAATGACTGTTCGGCTCGGAGTCAGTATTCTGTGTCTGAGTGGGGTATTCATGTTAAACTGCGGCATGGTATCTCAGTGAGCTAGCACTATAAATCGGCACCAGTCCGGACTAGTACAAGCAGCCAAACACACACACACACGTACATGCACGTCGCTATATAAGTGCAATAATCTTGGACGCGACGTTAATTAAACCCCATTTCACCTCACCTCACTATTACTGTAACGTCACTTCTAGAATGAGATTTAACAAATGAAGTAGCGGTCTCATTTAGCTTTGGCACCTTGTCGAAAAGAGCCGAGCAGTGTGCATGTCTGGGAAGAGGGGGTGCTCCCCTGACTAACGCAATACTATAGGTATACAACTACTACGACATTTGGCGATAGTCTTTTGCTAATTTGATTGCTTCGTGGCGCTAAAATGTAAAAAAAAATTCACAAGTGCACACACAAATCTCAACAGGCACCGTAAACCACTTTAAGATACTTTATTTTCTTATTACATAAATATTAAATAAGACTGCAATCACCCAAGGCGTCCCAATCCCCTTAGCTTCATATAAAGCAAAACGCTTCAGCCATGAAATCGCCATCTGAAAACATGGAGATAGACGAGGCGTCAATGAGCGCAATGTGACACAAAGGAATATGCATTGTCAAACTGATCGAAAAGCAGCTTGTCTCCGACCTGGATTACGGAAAGTGCTGATTAATAGGCTATGCTGATTATACCAGTGCTATATGAAAGGGATTGTGTCTTTTCATAATATGTTACCAGGGTATTGAACTCCCAAAAATTTCAGCCAGACCACAGGACTCAGTCTGGCTAGCTGAAATACTTGCCAGCCCTGACCAAAACCTGCCTGCCCACTATAATCATATGTTTTTCAGGACAAGCTAACGGGGTTTCTTTTTGGTTACATTTTATCATTCATCTTTACATGTGAATTAACGCTTATCATCGGGAAATATTTTGAATATTTTCACATATGAAATATAACCCGACCGTTGGGCAGGGGGATTTGGAAATCTGGCAGCCCGAGTTGAAATCAACCCGTCTCGGACAGTCGGGCAGGCAGGTATTTCGAACACTGATGTTACATTTTTCGATGATGAGGCTACTTACCTGTACTGAGAAAGCTTATTTCTTTCCAACGTTAATGAGAGCCTGCAGGAGAGCAGCATCAGAAGATCCTCCACTGCTGCTTCCACTGCTGCCTCCTTGACTGATGGGGACGGGGATTGGGATGGGGTAGTCCTCGGAGGACGAGGATGAGGACTGGGAGCTGCCTCCACAGCTGGAGCAGCCGGAGGAGCCACCTGATGAGCCAGATGATGGTGAGGAAGATGGCTTAGAATGGTGATGATGAACGATGATAGTCTCCTCACTACTTGAGCTGCTGCTACTACTCCCGCTGTGACGGCTATGGTGACGACGACGGCGGTGATGATGGTGGTGATGATGGTGGTGGTGATGATGATGGTCATGTCGTCGACGATGTCTCCTGTGATTGTCAGCAAACGCCATAGCGGCGATGACTATAGAAAATAGAATAGTATGTTCACGTGGTATGAAAGTTATAATGTCATGTATATATTCATTAACAATACAAAATATTAGTAATGGTATTCAACTGGCATAAAACATAATTATCAATCAGTCTACGATCAGTGGCTTTTCCGGTTGTGAATTCCAGTTTGTCATAAATGTATAATATCGTGTGATATTTGCGCTCAGTCGTTGGTGTATACTGTGAAAACCTGTGAGAACTTTGAGAATAAAGAATTGAACAAAATATCGGTTACAATGTATCTCGAATCCCACGATATCTCGAACCTGAAGTGTTTGTTCTTTGCAACCCCCGTTGTTATAAAAGCGCGCTCAAGCCTTAACATGTCACAGTTATAATAATAATAATAATAATAATAATAATAATAATAATAATAATTATAACAACATATGATATATCTTCACCTTTAAGGGGGTGCTAAGTTCGATTTAGGTTCGATTTAATTTGCAGTCACAGTGAAGTTGATTCAAGACCTTCAAACTCCAGTTTATTGTCTCCCATTTTATAACTAAGGTATACCAATTTACAAATTAATGATTTATCTGAATACAAAGTTATACTGTCTCCCTTTCACAAATCGAACTAATTACAATGTCAAAAAAAGGAACAAATTGATCCAGTTGATTCCCCTTTAAATCATTGAAAATATATCTTTCTATAAAGTGATCACAAATTCTGCTTCAATATTAAAAACGCAATGTTTCCTAGTATGTGTATACGCCAGAATATGTACAACTAAAAATACTCACCAACGATCAGAATGAGAATAATAGTAACTGGTCTCATAGTTAATGCTCAAGCTGTCCAGAATTGCCCTCAGAGTTTGTGATCGTTATGACTGAAGAGAAAGCCTTCTCATATTTATATTTTTACTTTTGTAACTGCTCATAATTACTCAACACAATTTTTATATATTTTTTTTTTTTCTTTAATGTTTTCCTTTATCTTAACCATTCCTGAAAACAAGATAGTAATCTGTGCTAATTGTGCAACAACAAAATGCACTGCCTGCAGTTTCGATGTTGTGTATTGCAATTGTCTCCGCAAGATACTGCTCTCCCGTAGACTGCTTGAAAGGAAGGTGAAAAACCATTGACCTAACGACTGTTCTCATTGTGTGTCACTGGGTCATAATTGGATATGGACCCACATGGCTATAAACATTTACATATATCTTATGATGGTTCGGCTGTATCAATGACAACCATCGTACAAATGCTCAGCCCTGTTTATCGTTAAGGTGAGGTGAAATGGGGTTTAACGTCGCGTCCAAGATTATTGCACTTATATAGCGACTTGCATGTATGTGTGTGTGTTTGTGTGATGTCGATTTATAGTGGTAGCTCACTGAGATACAATGCCGCAGTTTAACATGAATACCCCACTCAGACACAGTATACTGACTCCGAGCCGACCAGTCCTTGTTTTATCCCATTAATGCCGAGCGCCAGACAGGATAACAACAAGTACCATATTTTAACGTCTTTTGGTATGACGCAGCCGGGGATCGAACCCAAGACCTTCCTAACCACGGAGGCGGTCCCAGATTGTTTGAAGCAAATGCAAGTGGTATGAGAGGGGAAGCTTGGTCAATAGGAGTGAGTGAGTTATATACCCATGTCGGGAATCGAACCCGGGTCTTCGGCGTGACGAGCGACTCACCTTTGCATTGTACCGTCGCATGGCAGGAATACTGCTGTGCCGTGTTATCATCAACAACATATATTTAATGCAACTTGTGTGATTTGCGGGTGCTACCGGTAGGGCAGGGTCTGCTATCACGTTGCGCGAACACCCGGTCTCGTCACGTGTTTTCGCTGATCCTTTCACATAATGTTCACACATCGCAAAAGTACAAATGTATTTTGAGTGAAAGGCACGACGAGATGGGGGACGGCTTATAGCCTGGTGGGAGCAAGATATACCCTGCACCAAGGCAGACAAATTATGAAAGTGTCAAGTTTGTTGAATATATGATGTGTTCCTTACAATTGTGAGTGAGTTGGATTTAACGCCGCTTTTAACAGTATTCCAGTTATATCACAGCGTGTCAGCTTAATGTGGGAGGAAAACCCGAAGTGATGCAGGTCTCAGACGTTTACCACTTCGGTGAAACCCACGAGCACGGGTATGGTGCTGACAAACCTAGAAACATAATCGGGGCGAACCGGGATTCGAACCCACAATCATAGGTTTCTGGCGTGCCCAAGGGACGCAACTCTGCACAGCGAATCGCGGCGCCTTAGACGACTGGGTCTCCCGTGCCCCCTGTTCCTTACGAAGAACAGACCCCCATCTTTTCATGTTTTCATGACTATTTAACTCAGACGTTGACCTTGGCATATGTGCATTTGTTTTCAATAAATGTTTATCTGTCTCCAGAGAACGGACGACCATCATTTAATGTAATTTAAAAGACTTTCATTGTTTTACTGCTGAAAAAATCCATTTGCCTCGCTCCTTCGTGAGACTTTGACCAAGTTTAAAGTTTTGAATTTTATTTGTTATGTATTTTAATATAGGTACCTAATTTCCTCATGGGGAATGAAATGTACATCTTTGAATCGCGTCAACTTCAATAACGATTGAGCAATATCAAAGTTGAGGTGGTGTCAATAGCTTTAGAACATAAATATATGTGTGCGGTAATTTTCCTGAATTACAAGGAAATGTAGTAGGCTGGCAACGAATATGAAATTAATATATCATATCATGTGTATGTCTCAAATGACAAAATAATAAATACATTAGTTTCATGAAAACCTTACCTGTTTGACAACAGTTCTTTTTGGAAAAAAACCCATACTGCTAAAGTGTCGACCACAATACAAAATACAGGAAAGCTAGAGTAAACATACGCTAAAAATATACTATTTTCGGAGTATAATAATAACAGTCTATTATGAATGGGTCATATTCTTAATAACTGAAGTAAAAAACGTGTAAATATGCCACACAATAAATAATAAATAATACCACACAACTATGAATATGACCTCAATAATGCTATAGACGTGATATTTTATCAACAAGAGTTTTTATTGTAAACGCAATGTTCAAGGTTACCTGTGTAACACACCTGCTAACCTCAACGAGGGCGGTCCTACCTGTTGTCTTTGTGGTGGTGATCTCAGCACCTTTACTGTTATATAATCCTTTCAACGGTTTCATCAGATGAAGTATGTTATGAATTATGGAGATTATCCGCCCATGCATTACTTCCCTGTAACAACGTATAAAAGATTGTGTAGGAGAGGAGTATGTCACTCTAATCTCTTCGACACACAAGGTCAAAAGATCAACATGCATCAAGCTTCTGTTGTTGTTTTTTTGGTTGTCGGTATGTATTTTGTGTTATCGTGATTACGTGTGTATAAAAACATAAACTGCCGGACAAAAGAAAGTATTTTCATATTTTTGCGAACACCTGGTATCATCACTATTTGATAGTGATACATAAACACATGATTGGTCGGAATCGTACAATCGACTCAGGAGAGATTACAGTAAAGTACGTTTATAACGAACACGCTTATAACGAACTGACCTATATAACGAACTTATAGTCCCGACCATCTGTTGTATAAATGCTGTATATATGCCTATAACGAACGAAAATTAGCGGTCCCTTTGAGTTCGTTATAACCGTAGTTTACTGTACTTATGAATATGGAAAGTGTTTTGTAGTTTTTATTTTTATACATACATATATGATGGTGGCTACAATGAAACAAACAAGAAATGGTTATTCGATGATGATGATGTATTTGATACTGGTATCATAGGTGTGTTTAGGCGACTTTTTCAACCCATTAAACGTATTGATAAGGTAAGTAGTTTGTATTGATAAATCTAATTTAGTGTATACTTTCTTTGGCCTTGGAGTTAAGAATTGAAAATAATGTATATGTTACTTGTTTATATTATTTTTTTGGTCTTCGTTCGTAATTTAAATGTTCAGCAATAATTCATTTGTTCACATATTTGTAATTTTGTATTTGTATTTTTAATACTGTACATATTTCAATAAATTCTCTTCAGTGCGCACCGGCATAAATGATCTGAGAATGAACATAATATACTATGATACCGATAATTCAAATCATTTGAGATAATAAGGGAATATATAGATACGAGAATATTAAACTCCAATGGAATTTCGATTTGGTCAAATGTTTTTCATATTTTTATTTTATAGGTGTACTATAGTACTGGAATCACTCATAATGTCAATAATTATAATTCATTTAATTTGTACTAATATATTTTGTTGATAACGATTTGTTTTCTTTGCAGTGATATGTGCCGTTTCGTACGCGCATCATCATCACCACCATCATATGCGACATCACAAACATCATCATCATCATATGCGACATCACAAACATCATGGACATCATCACCATCGCCATCGTCATGGTCATGGTCATCATCACCACGGACACCATCACCACGGACACCATCACCATGGACACCATCACCACGGTCACCATCACCATGGTCACCACCATCACGGCCACCACCATCACGGCCACGGCCACAGCCACGGACATGAGCATCATCATCACCATCACCATCACCATCACCATAGTAGTGGCAGTAGTGGCAGTAGTGGCAGCAGCGGAAGCAGTGGTAGCAGCGAAAGCAGTGAAAGTAGCGGTAGTAGTGGCAGTGGTAGCAGCGGCAGCAGCAGCAGTAGCAGCAGCAGTGATAGCACTTACAGCAGCAGCAGCAGCGGCAGCGGCAGCAGCGGTAGCAGCGAATACAGCAGCGGCAGCAGTGGAAGCAGCTATTCCGGCGACAGCGGCAGCAGTGGAAGCAGCTATTCCAGCGACAGCGGCAGCAGTGGAAGCAGCTATTCCAGCGACAGCGGCAGCAGTAGTGGTAGTAGTGGCAGCAGCGGCAGCTACAGCTCAGAATCAGGATCTTCGGGATCTTCCTCTGGGTCATCCGGTTCCTCGGGATCTTCGGAATACGTTGTGGTTGAAGACTAGAGAGGTTGCTTGTTTGTCACATGTTCATGTCGGTGTTACCAGTAATATTGTGTAATTTCTTTACATTTTACTGTTTTAAATCCGTCAGCTACATCAACTTCTTTCGGCTATGAAGAACTTTTCTTTGTGATGTAGATGTGCGTACGCAGTATAATTCACATCAGAAACAAAAGGAAACAATTACGATTCCAATACATTTACGTACTAAACAAAAGCAAGATGGCATTTATTATACAAAAATATCCATATATGCCTCCAAAAATATGCCTCTTTCATGGACAATTGATCGAATAACTACTTGTTGAGACTCAAGTCTTTGAGTGAGTGAGTGAGTGAGTATCGTTTTACGCCGCTTTTAGCAATATTCCAGCAATATCACGGCAGGGGACACCAGAAATGGGCTTCACACACTGTACTGATGTCGGGAATCGAACCCGGGTCTACGGCGTGACGAGCGAACGCTTTAACCATTAGGCTACCCGAGCGCCCCTCAATTCTTTGAAAGGCATTTAGAAGTGATAGACATAAGGAAGAGCATTTATGGATGTCAACTTCTTTATTATGAGGAACACAACGTTTCGGAGTATATGCTTACTTGTTTCCTTACCCCTTGCATATACTCCGAAACGTTGTGTTCCTCATAATAAAGAAGTTGGCATCCATAAATTCTCTTCCTTAATTATTGAGAGTTTTTGTGACTGCTCATTTTTTCAAATAGTTCTAAAATACTACTTCCATTTTGTCTGACATCAAACAACAACGTTTTACATGTGTGATATCATTGTGTATGCTTGTTATGATTCTGTGCGCGATGTTTCACTGAACAATGTTTATCGTTCAAACATCCGTATTATCACCACTTGGAGCTGTTGAACTGTGATTGTTATTTGTTTTACTCAAATCTATCTCAGCTTTCATGACTGAAAGCAGGTTGTTGACGTTGTTTTCTGTTATAACATAACATTGAGTTGGTATGATGCATTATTTGTTAACTTACTGCAACTATGGAAATAAATTCCTTACATAACCAACAGGTGTGTTACATGTGCATATTCATACGGAATTTGGTAGCTAAGGCCTTGTGGTAAGCTACACTGATGCATGCAAAATATCTAAAGGCGTTGACTAATACAGGTGGTGAAAAAAGCAGGTAGAAGTTTGTGAAGATCCGGGTTAGAATTGATCTTGAGCAACCCATCTGTTTGGGAGAGAAGACAAACTAACGGGATCGGGTCGTCATGCTCGCTTGGTTGATGCATGTCATCGTATCCCAATTGCGCTGTTCGATGTTCACGCTGTCACTCACTGGATTGTCTGGTCCAGACTCGATCATTTACAGACCGCAGTTATGTAGCTGGAATATTGCTGAGTGTAGCGTTAAACAACAAACATGACAAACATAAATGTAGATAGTTACTTATTAATCCCTTTATTCAGGTTTATATGTATGACAAAGTGACTACGATCAGGGACCGCCTCCGTGGTCTAGTGGTAGAGCGTCCGCCCGGAGAGCGGAAGGTCCGGGGTTTGATCCCCGGCCGCGTCATACCAAAAGACGTTAAAAGATGGTACTTGTTGTTACCCTGTCTGGCGCTCGGCATTAAGGGCTAAACAAGGACTGGTCGGCTAGGAGTCAGTATACTGTGTCTGAGTGGGGTATTCATGTTAAACTGCGGCATGGTATCTCAGTGTGCTAGCACTATAAATCGGCATCAGTCCGGACTAGTACAAGCAGCCACACACACACGTGCATGCACGTCGCTATATAAGTGCAATAATCTTGGACGCGACGTTAAACCCCAATTTCACCTCACCTAAACCTGGATACGATCAGACGTTGATCACGTTTGTGTTTTGTTTGTTCTTTAACGCCGCACCTATCAATATTCAACTGTATGACGTCGGTCTGTAATCATGAGCATCGATCTAAACAATTGGGATACGATGAAATGCAGCAAGTCAGTGATTACGACTACACGGGGCCTTGGGTCGGTTGTGGCAGTATCACGAACCAACTAAAAAAACCGAAGAGCATTAAACGTCAAAACCAGAGAATAACCAGTCTCGATTATTTGCCGAAGCAGATTCCAGTGGGCGTAATAGGGAAAATAGCGAAAAATAATTAAAAACATGTGGATGGATCACTGAAAATCAGTGATGACACCAGGTGTTCGCTGAAAGAGTAAAAAGGCCCCCCCCCCCTTCTCTTTATTTTATTATTGTAAAACATAATCCTTACAACAAGGTCAATAGCATCCATTGGCTTAAGTCTATTTATCATCCAAAACTGGCTCCCACAGGAGATATCGCTTGGATTGGTCAATCAGAGGCTATTAAATCACAATAAACCCCCTCTGATTGAAACAGATATTTTGACGGACGCATTACCGCGGAAGCTAATATTCATAAAAATGGTACTTTTTCAGTCTTGTCGGTAGGCATATTTAAATATTATATCTACAAGTATAAGTTACAAAATGCAAAGTTGCGGTTACTACAATATTCAAAGGATGTGGTGCAATTCATTTCGTGCAGAAAACACGATATAAATCTACAAAAAGAATGTATTTTATGTGTATGGGACAACAGAGAGCTTGAATTTGGCGCTTTTCTATATACGACTGTGACGTCTTATCTTTTGCATCACAATGAGCAATATGACGTCATGATAGTGACGTGCATTGTGGAACGAAAGCTTTGAAAAGCTTGCTTAGTTTTCTCTAGGTGTTCCCACCTCATGTTAGTTTCCAATTTGCCGTGCTTATATGCTTTAGTAGTTTGTCATATATCCGAGTGAAGTATTACAGTGTAAACAAACTGCTTGAGCATATACAGCGTCATATTTAGTATTAAGGTTGTTGTCGGTATTTCCGTAATACACATCGACCACCCACTCAAAAAACTGGACTCAACCCACGCCGCTTCACTCAATATGTTTGCTTGCACCAAAGTGTTCGCGATTTGTTTAGTCATGGTAGAATGGAGATTATTACTGTGTTTTCAATGTAGAGCTAGGTTACCTGTAGATTTAACCGCGCTAAGACAAAGAGGTTGAGTTTTGTTAATTACAAGTAGAAACTGAAATAATGAAATAAATGCGACGCTATGAATAAACAATAAAAGTAAAATATATTTGCATTGGGGGACATTTTGCCCCGGAGGGAGTGAATAAATAATCTCTACCGGTACAAAATCGCCAGGGTGCATGGGATCGCCGTGTTTCGAGTCTCTGCACTCCAGAGGTATAGACTTCATCCCTGAAAATATAAACGACAGATATTACCTGAGCTTGATACATACATCTCGTACCTGGGTTCAGGAATTAAGTTTGTAAAAAAATGGGGACCAGTGAGACTGCAGCATCTGTTTCATATTACACTGACTGACTGACTGAGTACGGTTTTACGTCGCTTTTAGCAATATTCCAACAATATCACGACGGGGGACACCAGAAATGGGCTTCACACATTGTACCCATGTCGGGAATCGAACCCGGGTCTTCGGCGTGACGGGCGAACGCTTTCACCACTAGGCTACCCGGCCGCCCCGTTTCATATTACAACATGCCATATTCATTCAAGGCTTCAGCAAAGCTTTCAAAACGTTTTATGGTAGACATGTGGATGACATGTCCAAATTTCATGCATCAGTAACAAAAATGATGTCCGATGCAATTCCCTAATTTGAGACCCGTGAAGATCCGGGGTAGAATAGGTCTTCAGCAACCCACGCTTGTAGTAAAAGGCGACTATGCTTGTCGTAAAAGGCGACTAACGGGATCGGGAGGTCAGGCTCGCTGACTTGGTTGATACATGTCATCGATCCCAATTGCGTGGATAGATGCTCATGATATTAATCACTGGATTGTCTGGTCCAGACTCGATTATTTACAGACCGCCGTCATATAGCTGGAATATTGCTGAGTGCGGCGTTAAACAACAAACCAACCAACCAATCCCTAATTTGACTTGTACCAAATGTGTGTGTTTTCAGGTTAACAATTAACTTGCCCTTGCATGTGTTTAGGACGGGTGCCACATGTGGAGCAGGATAGGCTCACCTTTTTTGCGAACTCCTTGTGTCTTCACTGTTTGATAGTGATACGTGGCCCATGATACAGTGTGGCCCGTGCAATCGATTCTGCTTTCAGCAGCGATGTGTTATAAATATGGAAAGGGTTTTCTCGCTTATATATACATGTCACTTTTGGAAACATTTACGTACGATATCGATCTCGTTTTCATAAATATCTAATACATAGAGAATCTCACCCGAGTGTCTTTTGATATCAAATATATCAACACGAGTTGATAAAAGTGGAAAAATTCCGAGGCTTGCCGAGGAGTTTTGCCACTTTTATCAACGAGTGTTGATATATTTGATATCAAAAGACACTCGGGTGAGATTTTATTTATCATCAAACACCTCACATGTATACCTCACCCAAGCCAGGTCGGCCAGTCCGAAATGCCGACCGTCGGGCAGGTTTACAAAGTATCATCTTTTATCGTCTCTTTGGTACGATGCAACCAGCGGATTTAACCACTGACCTTCCATTATCCTGGCAGGCGCTCGATGTACTACACCACGCAGACGGTTAGTCCGATAGAAGGTCCATGCTACCAGGAATTTCATAATAAGGGCCGTTGTCACGAAATATATTCGCCCCCAGAATAAAATCTCCCCCCGGCGAATTTATACCGGTACAGTTCCGCCCCTCTCGAAATAAACTCTCCCCCACCCTACGAAATAAAATCTCCCCCCAGAATATTTCCCCGGTCGTTTTATAAATACTTGCCATGCAGTTGCCAATAGTTTTAATGTTAATTTGTTTATGTGTTTTTTTATTCATTTTTTTTTATCTCCTTTATTTTTTCTGAATTATACATTTAGTTACTTGTGTGGGGTGTGGGGTGTGTGGTGGGGGGTGGGGGGTGTCCCACCTTTCCTTTCGTTTTTCATAATATTATATTTTTAAGTTGTATATAACGTATGAATCCCTTCTCAGATTTCTTTATCTCAGTTCTATATGACGTACTATTTTACTTTTCTGTGTCGTTCTTGTTTTCTCTTCAGTGTGAGGTTAAACTGTATCATTTTTACTATTTTGATATTTTGCAATATGTTGTGGTCATCAGTTATGCAAATCAGTTTCGGTGTGTCTTTTTAACAAGATGTTCTTCATTAATATTCACCGCCAGCCCCATTGTAACAATTACATGTACACTTTGCTTTGACGATGCCGGTTGATGTTGTTCAATACAGGTGTTTTTGAATCTATTCTACATGCTAATCATTTCGGGAAGATGATACACATTATCTATATTTTGGGTTACTTTGCTTATAAAGATTATACATGTAAACGTACGCAGTCTTAGTAGATTTTAAAGTAGATTTAATCAGTGCTGAATTAGATAGTTATGATGTTGTATG